TCTCATACGCTTTCCTGGAAAATCACGTATACCAGCAGCAGGCCAACATGTTGATTTACGTATAATTGTGTTCAGCATTCGCTTGAACTAAAACTTGCACAAATGCAATTTACCAGAGACGTAGCGAATTATTTAGTGTACTCACAATTGCAATAAATAAATATAATAATTAAAACATAATGTCGCATGTGCACCATAGGGGTATTTAATAATTGCTTCAGATTGTTGTGGTTTTTTAGTCATCAGCTAGGGACATATAAAAATATACATATATGATTAAACTATACAAATTAAATTTGAGTAGTACATAGATTCTTAAGATACGTGTTAAACAAAGCCAAGGCTATATATATTTGAAGCAAACAATAGGAAATACCTGTGTCTGGTTAACCATGTTTATGTACACGTGTTTACTAGCTTCTATCCGGGGTATTCAGTCTTAAGCTAGCTTTGGCTTCATATCGCCATAAACTAGGAACACCATGAATATAAGCGATGGCAATTAGGAACGCAATTGCATGTTTAAGTGCTTGATTCAACGTTTAAGTTCTAATTATTCGCGAAAATAACCTTGACGAACTGATGCTCTCTCTCTCTCAGCCTCTATGTGTGTGCGTGTGGCTCATTTATTTTGGCTTGGCTGGCAATTTGCTTAATTAGCAGACTGCACACACACACACACACGACTGGCAGCCGTGGCAATTAAGCAAATAATTCGATTGTCTTTTTCGCAGGGATGTCATCTACAACATAAGCCTGCGGGGGCTGAAAGAAAACAGTCGGCTCGTGTGGCCCAGTCCGGGTGCCGATCGTGAGCTGTGCGTACTTAAGGGGAAACACGAACGGGACTGCCACAACTATTTGCGGGTCTACGCTCGACTCAATGATGGTCAAATTATGCTCTGTGGCACCAATTCGTACAAACCGCGCTGTCGGCACTATGCCACCGTGGATCAGGCGGCGGGTGTTACGCCTACCAGTGACAACACCATGGGTTACGAAATGACGCGGGAAGTTGAGGCTCAGGGTCTCTGTCCGTATAGTCCCGCTCACAACAGCACCTATGCGGTTGCCGATGATAAGCTGTATAGCGCCACTGTCGCAGACTTTTCTGGTGGCGATCCCTTGATCTATCGAGAGAATCTGCGCACCGAGCAATACGATCTCAAGCAGCTAAATCAGCCGGACTTTGTGGGCGCCATCGAACGCAATGGCTACGTGCTTTTCTTTTTCCGCGAACTGTCCATGGAATTCATGAATTTTGGCAAAGCGGTCTACTCACGCGTGGGTCGTGTCTGCAAGAACGATCGTGGTGGTCCCTACAACCATGGTAAAAGCTGGACGTCGTTCCTAAAGGCGCGGCTCAACTGCTCGGTGCCCGGCGAGTTTCCATTCTACTTTGATGAAATACGTAAGTAACAATATGCCAATATCCTCGTCACCTGATAAATTAATATGGCATCTCCTTATCTTGGCCCATACAGAGGCTATAAGTCCGATTGTGGAGAGCGGCTCCAATGCATTGGTTTATGCAGTGTTTACGACGCCGGTGAACGCCATACCCGGCTCGGCGGTGTGTGCCTATCGCTTAGACGACATACTGGCCGCCTTTGATGGAGATTTCAAGTCGCAAAAGGATTCACAATCGCACTGGCTGCCCGTGGAACAAACGCAGGTGCCCAAACCGCGTCCCGGCCAGTGTGTGGAAGACTCTCGCACGCTGACAAGCATAGCAGTAAATTTCATTAAAAATCATCCACTAATGGAGAGTGCTGTGCCCGCTGTGCATGGCCGTCCTCTGCTGACCAAGGTTAATCTGCACCATCGGCTCACTGCGATTACAGTGGATCCGCAGGTGCGTGCATTAAATGGCAACCACTACGATGTCATCTACAGCGGCACCGATGACGGCAAAGTGACCAAGTTCATCAACATCTTGACAACGCATCAGAACAGCAGCACGGACCGCCTGCGTACAGTGGTCATCTCCGAAATGCAGGTGCTGCCGCTGGGCACGCCTGTGCGCGAGTTGGTTATCTCTTCCAAGAAGAACACGCTTGTTGTGGTCAGCGATGGGCGACTGGTAACGGTGCCCCTACACCACTGTTCGCTGATTGTCGACTGCTTGGGCTGCCTCAGCCTGCAGGACCCTAACTGTGCCTGGGATTTGCAGACGCACGAGTGCAAGAATCTGGCCGCTAGCCAGCACAAATTCGGCACTAAAACCTACATGCAAAGCCTAAACACGACCAAAAAGGCGGCTGCCGCTCTCTGCCCAAAAACTGCCGCAGATCCTGTTATTGTTACCATGGCTCCATCGCAAATGGAGGAAGTCGAAAAACTCCATTACGCCAGTGTGGGCAGCGCGCAAGCTGAGGTACAACCCAGCCAGGAACAACAGCCAACGGGCGGCGGTGCTGACTTTACGCTAAATGACTATATTGATGAGAATAAAATACCGCAGGCATCAGTGGATCCCGAGCAGGTTATGACCAATCTGCATGGTAAGTGGCGCACAAAACGACTTAAAGCAGTTCCACTAATGTCTTGTTTATGCAGATCCCCAGAAGTCGATAGCAGTTGTCAATGAGGTGCAAAAGGCGTCTGCCATTACGAACTACACAATAACTATCATTACACTTGCGTTCTTGATGACATTCTTTGTGGGTGGCTATGTGGGCATCAAGATAAAGCAATGGTGCAATCAGAATCGATTGGATGCCAGTCATCACAATCACTTTGTCAAGCAAACGTAAGATCTAAATTATTGGTTGGAAAGCATGCGCTCAGACTAAATTCGAATTTTGTTCGTTCTTGTCCCACAGCCAATTCAAGCATCAGAACAGCGGCAAGGACATTAATTTATTAATCAACTCGAATCCGTACACCACTCCACAGAAAACAGCGAATCTGGATCTTGAAAAGGATCGTAGTCACGAATGCAAAAACTCCACAGAACATTTGGAAAAGGAGCTGCCCTGCAAAACGTCGACTATGACAAAAGTGAAGCGCACTTATATATGAAGAGGGAAACATGCATCAGTTTTTTGATGGCCAGTTTACCACAAAATTAGTCGAATTTTCGTTGTTTATGTTGCTGTTAGTTGTAGTTAACCCGCCCCCCCGACTTGACGTATCAGCAGTTTTTCTGACGCGTTTGAAACGCGTCTCGGCGCATACGTAACTGTTGTGCTTATATTTAGTGTTTTTTTTTGTCAAGGTTTAGTTAAATTTATCGCTTAAACGCAGCGCACTGTGCTATGCTAGAGAAAGGGCAATATGATAAAGCTTGTATGCCTTTTGCTGCACCGCAGTATACGAGGCGGCACATCTGTATGTTTATTTGATAGAATAATTTGTAAGTGCAAACATTAGAGCTTAAACATATGCATATCACATATAGAAAGCAGATTCGGGCTATACAAAAATTGGCTATGTTTTATTGAACAAAAGTTTTTGGTCGTGCCCAGAACTGTCGAACCCACCCACAAATCAAATATTTTTCTCGAAATTCAGACGATTATTATTCTGTACAAGTATTTTGTTAGACTGAAAGTTTTTCTATACACATTTTAGTTTTCTATGTGCATGCAACAATATGCTGTTTAATTATAAATTGTGTGTTTTGTGGCTAAGAAAAGCAATATAAATTGTATCTAACATAAAGCTCAATAAGGAATTGAATATAAGAATATGTATTTTTGTAACTTTATATTGTACGATTTAGGCTTAAGGAAACTACACGATTATTTAACGTTTACTTCTGCGGTCAAACATAAATGAGGCTGTTTCGTATGAACTGAGATCCCTGGACACACCAGCCCTTAAAAAGTAAATAACGCACAAATAATGATTGCACACGCCTTAAATAAAAAAATATAAATTTATATATATATATAAAAGCCTATATTTAGGCTTTAAAGTAAATGTGAAGATAAAAATTTAGGCTAAGAATTATAATAAATACATACTCTTGCATGTATTTTAAAGCAGAATCAGCATTTTATATGTTTATGTTTAAATTTTAAGATGTTGTCCGTCCGTAACATGCAAATTTTTTATAAATAATAATCATAATATATTTTTATATGTAATTGTATCTAATATTTTTATGTCTAAGTACAATTTTAAACACAAAAAAGAAAACAACAAAAAAAAAACAAACAAAATAATTTTGAAATTCAAAAAAAAAATTTAATAAGAAAATCTCTAGGATCAGGATATGGTAGTGCTCGAGTGATTCATAAAAAACATCATGATTAGATCGAGCAATGCCACATCCTGCAATTCTCATATTGTGATAGATTTTATTAAAATTTATAATGATAAACACGTATGCCTTTTAGGTTGAAAAGCAATGATATATATTTGGAATGGATTTGTCTCTGCATGCAATTATTTACGATTTTATTTGTCGATTAGAAAAACAAAAAAAAAACATAAAATATGTAAATTTTATAACCCACATGTATTGTACTTGATATATTGTTGTAAAGGCGTTTAATGAGCTATGCTAAAATTTAATAAAGTCGTCATTTTTAATATACATTTTTAAAGATTTGTCTAATTTTAGGAAATTGGGATTGTTTTGTTTTTGTTTTTTTTTCTGAGTGAGTTTAACCACCAAGCACATTGTATTATTGCATGCTGAGTGGTTTTACTCTGTTAAATTTTGGATGATGTTAACAGCGTGACGTTACCATTATGTTATTTGGTTAGTGGTGACATGCAGAAATATTTAAGTGGTTCTCGGATTTTATTTTATATATGTATATCGCTTAAGCCTAAAAGAAAAGAAAATTAATGACATTTATTGCTTACCATCAGACTAAATTTTTTAAAACATCGAAAAGTGCTGTTGTCATATTAGTGTTGTGTAAACGTTCGCTTTTCGGTATTTTTAGTTATGTATAATAAATCTAAAAGAACCTGGTCACACTACTGGTTGGTCTCGTTCATTTCCTGTTCGTTTCCTCAGTCAATCGATCGATTCTTTCTCTCAATCCACTAATACTTTGTGCATCATCAGTTATTATTAAATTTTGCTTACTTCTTAATACTCAGTATAACATTATCTCTGCTGTAGTATCACAATTTTTATATATTTTGCGTAACTTTTAGTAAATATTTAAATCAAAAAGTGGTAAGTAGTCTCAAAAGTTTTGAGTATATAACGCCTCAAATTGATGATTGTTCTTTTTCTGAAGAGTCGAATGATAGTGCCCTTGCAAAAGGGTTACTAGAGTTCATATCTTGTAGAAAGAATAAGAACGGCCAACTGATTGATGCATTAAAAATTAAACATATGAATACATCTATTATGTGCACGCTAATGCTCCGTGTTCTTTTTGCAGCTGCCGCAATTAGTTGCACGCACGTGGTCGAAAGCCGATTTCTGCAATGGAAGCCCCTCAGGTAAGGTTTAAGACTTCAGAATCTATGTTAGTAAAACGTTTTATGTGATGATAAGTTTACTCTTAACAAAATGCTGTTGATCTTTAACTTAAAACTAAACCAAAAGGATTCTGATAATAATTTAAATTCAACAATAAGTTGAGCTAATATCAGACGGAAAAACGAACCCCATTTCTCTTGCACACTAACGCCGTATTTTCTTGTTGCAGCTGCCGCTGATAGTTGCACGCACGTGGTCAGAAGTCGGTTTATGGAATGGAAGAAACTCAGGTAAGCTTTGAGACTTGAGAGTAGAATTTCAATGATAGATTTAAGTTTCTTCTGATGATAAGTTCAATCTGAACAAAGTGCTGTTGATCTACAACTTAAAAACTAAACCAAAAGGATTCTGATAATTATAATTCAATAACATATTGAGCAGAAAAGTCACGCGAAAAAACTAACCTCATTTATTTTTTACCATTGCAGGACTCGGACCAAGGCCAAGGCTAAGCAGTTCAGTCTGATGCATGGTAAGTTTTGAAGTTTTTTTTTTTTACGCTTTTTAATTTCACAATGATGAAAAGTAATTACCGTACGATATTCGTGATTAAAAAACTATGGCTGCAATTTTGCAACTGATACATATTTGTTTTAATTGTAATCCCTAAAATAAAAACACCGCGTAACGAATTGCTTTATCTTTTCTATGATTTCAGTGATATCCATTGAAACTGGCAGTTTTATGCGCGACTATGAGGTAAGTTATTATCAACAAACATTTGCATTGTGTTTTCAAAATGATGAAAAGTAATTACCGTACGATTTTCGTGATTAAAACTCTATGGCTGCAATTTTGCAACTGAACTTTAAACGCAATGTAAAAAAATCACAATTTATAACAACTTGTCTAATAAATTATTTGTTGCTTTCAGTCTGATTTGCTACAAATGAAACTAGATGTTCGCGTTGCTCAATGAGGTAGGTTTCACCGTCATATTGTTTGTAGATTTACTATATGTATGTTTAGATGATGAATACCTTTTATCTATTATAACTTTCGTTCTACTGAGTAGAAAATGCGGAGAAATATAACTGAAATAAGCATTTATAGTAATTTATTGAACACAATTATCGATTTTCAACTAACAGAGAATTTTGTATATTTGCAGTTTCTTCAATAAGGGTCCAGTCCGTTGGGCAATGGGATTCTAGGATTGTCGGTACCTAAATGTAAGCATTTAATTTTTAGTCGTATAATTTCTAAGTCTCATCTTGATGATAAACTTACTCTGAATGCTATGCTGACCAACCAAAGAAAATTAACCAAAAGGATACTGATCAAATTAAATCGATTTAACGATTGAACCGTTTGCGTGGGCTCTACTAATCATTTTCTCCGTTTACAGGGTATCTTTGACGAGGAAGTGTCGTGATGAATGTCCTACTTCAAGTCTGCATCAAGGTAGGTCCATTTTTCGCTGCGCCTTAGTTAATGTGTTGTAAAATTTATCATGATGTTTACTTCAGTATAGTTCATTAGAAACAAACATGTTACAAATTTTTGAAGCTGATATTTAACTATGTATAAAATTTCGATTATGTAGACAAAACGTATAATTAGTTTTCGTTGTGTTTTGCAGTTGTCGGATTCTTTGATGATCAAAGAACTTTCATGGATAAATTCAATGCTTTGAGGTATGTTTTAATGTTATATTGACGCCTGCAACCTCATGAATTTTATCTGATGAATTATCCTAAATCAGGATCCCTCTACTGAGTAGAACCCATTAAAAACCATGCGGTCAATCTTTCCCCGACTGAATACAATCGTTGGCTCTACTTATAGATTTATTATACATAATTTAAAAACTAACATAAATGTCTTCTTTACTTACAGCTTTGACTGCTTTCCTGTCGACATGCAGCAATCGGATTAAAGTCTTTGAAAGGTGTGTTTATTTAAGAATTTCAATTGAAATAAAAATTGTTATCTGATGAATTTTCCTAATTCAGGATCCCTCTACTGAGTAGAACCCATTAAAAACCATGCGGTCAATCTTTCCCCGACTGAGCAAAATTATTAAATAGTTTTAAATCATCTTAATGCGACAATTTTCAACAACTTGTGTCTTTACTCTTGCAGGTCACTTGCTGCTTCCAACTATTGGTGTTTATGTCCAGAGAAACTCCACAGAGGTAAATTGCACTTAATTGCTCTCTAGTTAAATGCTTGAATATGATGAACTTCCCAATAGGGACCCAGCTGAGTGAATAAAAACCATGCTGTATTAACTTTCTTCTTTCCCCAACTGAAAGCTGACTACTTAAACAACGCATTAGACTAAGTTGTACAAAGTACTAATTTTTATATTGTTTTATTTTCAGATGCGCTTTGACCGGACCACGATTTTTTACAATTAATTTATATAGTAAAAAATTCCGTTGAATAAAAAGAATAAAACCAAATACTTCTTAAACTATGTTTTTATTAAGCCTTTCACTTAAGTTCACCGCAAGCATAAATGATAATTTTCTGGGAAGGTGTGCCCGATTTGTTGCCACATCGTTCCATCTTGCGCACGACGTCCGCGCCGCTGATCACATGTCCAAAGACCACGTGCTTGTTATCCAGCCAGTCGGTTCTGTGAGGAATAAACATGGGATCAGATATGCCTATCTAAAAATAGTTTTGTAGTCGTTACTTTGTGGTGCATATGAAGAACTGTGAGCCATTTGTGTTGGGACCTGACTTCGCCATGGACAACGTGCCGAAGCTGTTGTGTTTTAAATTGAAATTCTCGTCGTTAAACTTCTTCCCATAAATCGATTTGCCACCGGTTCCGTTGTGATTTGTGAAATCTCCGCCTTGGCACATCTAGAATATAATAGTTCAGATATGATAGTTCAGTGCTCCAGTATAATTTAAAGTCTCACTCACAAATTCTGGAATAATGCGATGGAATACGCAGCCCTTGTAGCCATAGCCCTGCTCGTGCGTGCACAGCTGGCGAAAGTTCTCTGCCGTCTTGGGCACCACATCGGCGCGCAATAGCATGACAATGCGTCCAGCATCATTGCCGCCAATGCGTATATCAAAGAACACCTGGGGATTGCGCTTTTCCGACTTCTCAATTACCGCTGGCCCCGTTGATGGCGTCTCTATCTTTTCCTTATCTGCTTCTGTCTCACCCTCGGGTTCTAGTGTGGCGCCCGCATGCTTCTGCAGCCAGTCATCATCCGCCCAGACCGGCTTGAAGCTGTCCTCCTTGACGCGCACAGGTTTGGCTAAGTTGACACGTATCGTACGGCCGCATAGCTCTGAATCATTCTAAAAGCAAGAACGGGCTTTAATGTTGGACTCGAGCAATTTTACTGCTACGGCGGCTTACCATGTTATCGATGGCAGAGGCGGCATCTTCATAATTCTCGTACTCAATAAAGGCAAATCCCCGATGTTTTTGCGACTCGTAGTCGACCGGCATTTGAATATCCGCAATATCTCCGAATGGTATAAACGCATTGTTTAGCAGCCTTTCTGTGACCTCGTCGGCCAGGCCACCAACATAAACAGTCCGCTTGTCATTCGACATTATTCACATAAACGTTTATTTTTCAATTACTTTTGTAAATAAAATGCGCCAGCTGCAAAACAACATTGGTCGCTTACTCTCGAGCGAGTTGGCAGCAACAGCTGGCGCGGTGCTGCCAGCTCGAACGAATTTTTTATTGGGTGGCAACGTTGCCAAAACGGAAGCGCGGGCTTTAACATAAACTGATATCTTATTTAATTTTTATTATGTATATACTATGTGGATTATTAAAATGCTTGTTTTGCATATTTTGACAGCTTTTAATTAACAACTTGTTATGTGAAGAACAGGTAGAACTAATAAAATAGTAATAATAATAATAAAAAAAAAGAAAAAAATAAGAAAGTTTATTTTTTGTTCATAAATAATTTAGCTTTATTATTCATAACTAACTACTAAAAATGTTACGTAAGATAAGACTGATTGCTACTGGACATGCCCTCTGCTTCCACATATTTGATATTATTGTTAGAAAGATTTGTATTCCTTATCACCGGCATTAGAAAGCCAACGAGCGTATGACAATAGCCGGGCACGTACGCGTACGAAGCGTAGAGTATAAGGGAAAGACAGCTGCCGATGAGTAGGTCTGTAAATATTGAAAGCAATTACATTAACGTTAATATAGAAGCATTATTTATGTATTAGGCCACCATTAGGCTACAGTTAGTCGTTGTCTCTCCGGGCGAAGACTGACCGAAATAGATAAGATACCGTTGGGCGGTGCCAGAGAAAGAGAGACAGCCAAATACTAGATGATAGACCCGGGCCTAACGATTGGTAATCGCTGGTTAATGGCTGCCTTCTTGGCACCTGGCTACTTACGGCAAAACACTTTCTCCCATGGCTCGCAGATGGCAATCTGCGTGTTCAGCTCATACAGTCTATACATCCATATCACATAGCGCTTGAATTTCGCATATTTCTCAGCTATTTCCCTATACATATCGTACCAGGTGGGTATGGGCGGTACGAGTTTGGTGCACAGTCTATACGTGCTGAAGGTGCGCGGTGAACTAAACTGAACCGAAATGAACCTGGCCAAATCAGGAAAAGAAACAAACCACAACCACGCCACAAAGTATACGTTATCATAACAATTTTGTAAATAGAGTTAAATACTTACTTTCCCGTTTTCCGTACAGAGAGATAAAGAATTTGTTTTATTGATTAGCGTTGGCATTTGGGCATTATCTATGAAGACAGCAGTGTTTATCAGTCGAAGCCAACGTCACGTAACCCTTGACGTTATTTTGGATGCACTGATTCATAATCACAATCAGGCCATCAGTGGCACTATGGACAGCAGGAACACCCAAACGGACAGAACGTCGTTTACATAGGCGTTGATATGCACGGCCACACAGAACTCGACGTCGGCGTTGTTATTATAGTGTATGCAGGTGGTGCGAATGCGCTCCGATATGGCTGCCAGGTTGGTGTACGCAAAGTTGATTGTAAACCCATAAAGCTGTGATTTAAACAAATGCTGTCATATTAACTGATATCACGATATCGTACGTATTATAGGGCCGGCTTATAAGGCAACAAATGATATACAAGAATTACATGACATTTTGTGGACTTAAGTAAACGAAATCAATCAATTTTTATCAGCGATTCAGCTCGCTTTTCTGTTAAAAAATGTTTGCTTTACATATTTAAAAGAAGCTTCAGGTTAGTCAACTGGAAAGAATTTACCATACATATTCACATAGTATTTATTTTATTATTATTTATTATTATTTTGGATGCACTGATTCATAATCACAATCAGGCCATCAGTGGCACTATGGACAGCAGGAACACCCAAACGGACAGAACGTCGTTTACATAGGCGTTGATATGCACGGCCACACAGAACTCGACGTCGGCGTTGTTATTATAGTGTATGCAGGTGGTGCGAATGCGCTCCGATATGGCTGCCAGGTTGGTGTACGCAAAATTGATTGTAAACCCATAAAGCTGTGATTAAAACAAATGCTGTCATATTAACTGATATCATGATATCGTACGTATTATAAGGCCGGCTTATAAGGCAACAAATGATAGACACGAATTACAAGACATTTTGTGGACTTCAAGTAAAGGAAATCAATCAATTTTTATCAGCGATTCAGCTCGCTTTTCTGTTAAAAAATGTTTGCTTTACATATTTAAAAGAAGCTTCAGGTCAGTCAACTGGGAAGAATTTACCATACATATTCACATTGTATTTATTATAAGGAAAAAATAACTGAATTTTAATGGAAAAGGTAGAAGTTATCAATAAGGAGCTACGTTCAAAATTTCAAGTCTCTGGCTGTTATAGTTTATGATGTCGACTGAGCAGGACGTATATATATACTTTATGGGATTCGGGGTATCAATCGAAACTCACCCTAAAGTTGGGATACTCGCGTTCCAGTTCCTCGCTGTAGGCGGGCTCATCGTAGCGACCGCCCGCGCTTGTGCTTAAGTTCTCCAATTCGCTTAAGATTCTCAGCAGTTGCGGCTGAAAGGCACTACAAGGAGTTGGTTAACAGTTGATTGTTCTGGCTGTCACCTAAATGCTGAATCACCCACCGATTCCAGAAAGTTTTGCGTGTGGTGCGCCAAGCGCTTATCTTCTTCATGATCTTGCGCTCAATGTGCTTCTGCAGTTGGCTTAGATCGTAGGTGCGCTTGTAAACATAGTCCAGCTTGTGTATGCCACACTGTGGCGCCTCCTGACGCTTGTTAAACAGCGGCAACCAACAGTCGCCATCCTGCACATTGAAATTTGTCATGCTAACGCGCTCTTCCGCTTGAATATTGATATAGATCTGTTCCAGAACACAAGAGATTATCAGATAAAGACGAGAAAGAAGGGCTATCTTCGGCACGCCGAAGACTTAACACCCTTGGAGACCCAACCTTTTCATAATGCTCATAATGCTTTGCCCGTATCTAAAAAGCACAGGGACAATAGTTATTCCCGAGTTTGGTCAAGATATCTTACAAAACCAAAATGTTTTTTGTACAAGAACCTCATTTTCGACCGATCGTTCCTATGGCAGCTATATGATATAGTAGTCTGATCCAGCCGGTTCCGATATATGTACTGCGTGCAACAGAAAGAGGGACTTCTGCAAAGTTTCATGACGATAGCTATATCGACTCGGCTGTTGATACTGATCAAGAATATATATACTTTATAGGGTCGGAGATGTCTCCTTCCATGCGTTACACATTTCGAGACAAAATTAGAATGCAAGGGTATACAAAATAAACAAGTTACAGTACGTTAGTCGAAAATGTTTGACTACGAGATGTCCTGAGATCAGCGTGGAGCTAATTTTACAAATATTCTTACGTCTGTGCTTCACGCAATTTCATCAGTGTTTATATCTTTATGAAATAATCACCGGCATAAATATGTGATTCAAGGAACTGTTAATCTGTATACCTTTTATACTATACGATTTCAGAAAATCGTTTCTTATCGGAATAATTGAAATTAGGCGACAAACCAATGAGAATTTAACTTTTTTACGAGAATATATATTTCAACGGGAGGGACAGACGGGAGATGCTACCTTCTTCCTATTACACTTGATTTAGATCTATATAGAAAAGATCTATAGAATCTATAGAAAAGTGCAATACTCTAGATCTGAGTAAACCATACGAGAGCCTATATATAAAATCTTTTATCTTTGGCTCTTATATGCTCAAAACACGAGGATTTCTATTTAGATTCTTATCAGTTTTATGGAGAAGGGATTCGATTTGATGATTTAAATAGAAGAAGCTACGTCGAAGAGGCCTTCCTCAGTGTGGGACATACATTTGCCCAAAATCATATTTCGTATTTCGCCCACTCTCTAGCAGAAACACGGCTACCTTGTAGACATATAACAGCTATGTATGCGATACAGTAGTCCGATTTTGATAAGATTTTGCTTCTAGGTACATAAGTAGAGTGCATAAAGAAGCTCGTTAGTGCAAAGGTCGGTATGCGTATCTAGAAAGCCAAAAAAAATATTTCATTTGATTTACCGGATTCTTCCAGTTCTTGGTAAAATGTAGATAATCGAGTTTTCGATACAAGTACTTAATTTTCGAACAGACAGGAGATCTATCTATCGGCCGGACCGGGATTGCACTTACGTTTTTTGCGGCCACAATGGAGTACACTCGCGTTAGGGGGCAAAAGGTATCCTGCAGCTGGTAGCGCTTGCCTGTGGTGGGTGCCACAAGCAGCAGGTCGCCGCTTTCCGTCTGTCGATAGATGACAAATGTGCACTCGCCATAGGGACAGGCCAGTCCAAGTACCAGCCAGCAGTCGAGGCCCAGCGACAGCATATAGTTACAGAGGAGCACGCCCAAATCCTTGGCGGAACACCAGGTGCTATCGAGCAGGGCCTGGTTGTCTAGCCAAACGCCTTGAAAGTTCTGGCAGGCATCCAGCTGACTGCGCACCGGGCTAAGCAGTGAGACAAAACGACAAACACGCTCCAGCTGGGTCTCATTGGGCAGCGGCACGGGCTCCAGCAGACGCGTCAGGCAGACCCGCTTGCCATGTGAGGTGCAGACGAGCGGCTCCATATAGCGCTGCGGATGCGGCAGCAGCTGTTGGATCTCCAAGCGGCGCTCGCGCACAAATTGCTGCAGCTCGGGCAGCTCCGCGCATGCCAGGCCGCCTATTTGAAGCGGCGTCACCTGGCAGCCGGGCTCGATGCTCAGATAGAACCACAGATGGACGCTTTCCTTGAACTCGGGATATTGCTCCACGGATATATTTGTCACAGACTCGATGAGCGGTCTTTTGTAACCGACCAGCACCTTCGGCATGCTTAGCTCAATGCATCCCTCAAACTGAAATGGGCAATGGGTTGGTTAGTCGCAGCAGTCCATGCGGATGCCTGTCCTTTGTTGCGACCTTACCTTGCGACTGGCTAGCAGACTGCTCATGGGCACACGATATTCGCCGAGCCAATTACATTGCACCCGCTGATAGATATCTGCTGCCTCGTCCGTGTACTGCTGCTCGACCATCTCGTCGAACAGGCTGATTTTCAGATCTTCACGCAGATCACTCGGCTGACCCGTAAGCTGTAGCTGCAGTTGCTCATTCCAGGTGGGATTCGATCCTTCTGCCGTGCGACTGCGACACAGCCTTTGGCCATAGCTCAATGTTATAAATGGACGCACGTTCGAGTACATAAGCGCTGCAAAAAAGATTAACAAAGGTTTACAATATATTTGCACACACAGATCAATTTTATATATTTTTTGCAATTGCTGTTAGCTAGCCGGAAGTCGATAAGCGTCGATACCTAGCCACGATCTTCAAAGCATATCTTGTAGATTCAACGAGCTATAAACGTCGCTAATAAATACCTCTTCTTTTTAGAAGTAGAGTCGCTTAGCAAGTCAACTTACTGATTAGCCCCTTTGAAAATCGAGAACATATTGTCGACCCAAGACACACAAATGTGACTGTCATTGCATTGAGATTTAAACGTGAATACTAAATTAAGACGACTGAATTACTGAATTAAGTTAACATTGTGAATAGGGTATTACGAGGTCGCCTGCACTCAACAGACTCTTTAGACTAGAGAACTTTTACTTTTTGGAAATCTAATCGGCTATTTTATGAAATATATGTATAAAAAAAAATCTATATCGCATGAACAACAGCAAGAGCCGACTACACAATACTCTAATCCGCGTGTCATAATTCTTAATGGTTGGACTCGTGCCATTGGGAGGACAGCTTATATAAAAAGTTTCTAGATTCTAGCTACCCATTTAAGAAATCCTATATACTTTTTTATGCCCCTGTATAGGACTGTAAAGAAAACATTTTTTTTGTTTCAAATATTTTTCCCAATTACGAGCTTTACTAATATTAATACATATCTGCACAGCCGTAAGGGTATTTTATTCTGACCGTGTCCAAGATAACCTTTCTTTTGCGATAATAAATTAGCTAATTTGGGGGCTAAGTGAGCATATGTATTGTTCTTTAGTACTAAGTCGTGGCATGGCAATGGAGGAGGTCATATTTAAGTGGTCCGCTCTGCTGGTACTGATGCAGCTTGGCCTGGCGGGCCCGGCAAGTGGCCAGAGGATCTTTGATCGATGCAGCCTCGCGTTAGAGCTGGATAGACTCAATGTGCCGCGCGATGAAATACCCAAATGGGTTACTATCGCAGCCCAGTTAAGTAGCTACAAAACAGACGCAAAGAGTCCCATAAATGGAGAAGGTTATCGCAATTATGGAATATTTCAAATCAGTGATGGCTGGTGGTGTC